GGAAGAAAGAGTGAGGCTGATGACTTTGTGCAACTCTGCCTTGCTTAAATTCAATTCACTAGAAAGTCATGATATCACTCATCATCAACTATTTTACCCCAACATCATGATGCCATTAGTCCTCTTTGAAAATGGAGGATGAATAAAAACAACAGTATTTTGGTTGTGCCATTTCTAGGTCAAGTAAGATGTAAAATACTTTGCAAATGTTAAAGTGCTATATAAATTCTAGCTATTATTAACTATTATTAGTGCACTCTAGTTCAATTAAACAAACATTTAGGAAGCACCTACTATTATGTGTAATAAACACCCTGGCCTAATGGATAGAGAGAGCTGGCCTTCTCTTCAGGAAGACCTGGGCAAATCACCTTCTCAATGGCCCAGGCAACCAAGACTAGAAATTGCAGGAGGTGCTACTCTGTACTGGTAGAGGGAGTGTCCTCACTGGAAACTACTATAACAATGAAATCACAGATCAGATCCAAAAAAACCATGCAAAGTGCAAGGTAAAGTACTGGGAGCACAAAGAAGAAAAATAATGTAGTTCATGAACTTGAGGATCTTACATTTTACCGGGGAGAAGACTATACCAGGTAAGTATAATATGAGGTAGAATTTGAAGAGGTCAAAAGAGAGCTCAAAAAAGATAATGTATATCACTCTGCAAACATTAAAGTTCTTCTATAAAGGTCAGTTATTCTCATCAAGACAAAATGAAAAATTGAGGCAGAAGATAACATTTATATCTGGGGGAAAGGACCAGAATTGAGGGAAGGCTTCCGTCAGTAATCACATACTGATAGTTATTCTTATATTTGGTTTGTCCCTTATTAACTGTAAACCCCATTTACAGAAAGGACCACATTTTACACATCTCTGTGTCCCTCAGAGCATCTATTAGTGTTCTGCACAAATTACACTGTCAATAAATATTTGTTAAGAGAATAAACAGACAATAGAGATTTAACATTTGAATGGTCAGCTAACAGGTCAATTCAGCTAATTATTCATGAATACATTTTGCAACTGGCTCACCATGATGGGCTCATAATGAGATTCATTTATGAACAAAATTATTAGCAGGTAACACTCACCCTAAGAACTTTTCAAGTTAATGTCAACTCTTCTGTTCTGTGTAGCATGGAATTTAGTACAGATGCATAAAAAAGTCCAAAGTTCTTTCCTTAGGAAAGAGCTCCAGTTGCAGGTACTCCAGTTGCCCAGCCTGTAAAGAAGTAGGCCTCTGGGCCTTCTCTTTGGACAAAGAATACAATTCTGGCTATTAAGTTTTCACAACAGGACTGCAACTCCCCCAAACCCTTCACATCCAAAGCTTATCACTTTCACTGTGCTACCCACTATCTACTAGGGGGCAATTTAAGCCATGAATTCACTTCAATCTAGCACCTGCCAGTCTCTGTACACACCTTATATTTGAGAGTCTAATCAACATGTTAACTACTCTTGGAAAGATGGTCAATGAAGAAACAATATTCCTAATCCAGATTTCCTATGGAACTCACATTGGCGGAACATCACTAACAATTCTATCATTCAGCCCTTCTAATTTAACAAAATCTGGAGGTACTAAGGTAGGTAGCTGTACACAGGAAGGCACAATAAGAGACATGTTATCATATGACTGTTTGTAACCATACATATATTTTAATGCCAGCAAATTCCACTCTCCATGATGCGCAAAGTCACATTTATGGATAGTTATGCACAAGAGACAGTGTCTATGGCACACAAATGTCTTGTTATCTATCCACCCATCTAAATTCTCCAAATTCTGTTTTTGTATTAATTTAGAGCATAATAAAATGAAGCAATGGGCCACCTACTAGCCACCCTACCCCACTCCCAAGACAATCATCCAAGACAGGCTTTCACTGGTTATAATTTTATGTCCTCTATCTCCTTAAACATTTTATACCTTTTTATAAACCAAGAGTTGAAGATACACTATTCTTCCCAATGGCCCTTAAAAAAGACCCACACACTAAAATTCCATTCAAGCTTAATTCAAGAAGAAGACGAAGAAGAAAAATAAAAGCTCGTCTTTAACGATAATGTGTCTGCTTTCCCCTCTCCCAGAAAATGAAAACTACGTAATACAACATTTCTTTTTTGCCTTGCCTATCAAGGAACTTCCCTTTCCAACAGTAGCAATCTAATAATTTATCTCAAGTGTCTATTAGCACCTATTCCCTCTGTTTCCTTTAGATAACGGGTGCTTTATCTTTTTCATGTTGTGGACCCCTTTGTCAGTAGATTAAAGCCAATGAACCCCTTCTCAGAATGAGGATTTTAAATAATTGAAGTAAAAGTTAAATTTTAGTTAGAAGTTAATGAAAACTTTAAAAGGTGATTTTTCCCCCTATATAAGTTAATAGGAACTGAAGAAATCTAGCCTCAGACCCCAAGTTAAGAATCTCTGCTTAAGCTTTCTAACCAGAATCTCTGTTCTGTTCTTAGCGCTACCTATTTTATTTTGCATTATGTTTGATTTATAAGGCTACTCAAATCCTTTCTGTAAAAGGCAAATATGCATCTTAAATGAATAAGATAAGTTAATCAGGTGAGAGACTGACTTGGTACATATTATATTCTGATAACAAAAATAATTTTTTTCCTATTCTATTAGTAGACCACTGGGGATAACAGTATCAAAATTCCCTGTCAGTAAATGAAAGATGAACAAGGTGTATACCTCTCTTTTTCCAATAAATGTACTCCTGAAAAGCTGTATACAAACCAATTTCTAGAAAAATAAATATTTTAAATAAATAGAATCCAGCAGTGAATCCTTTTGAAAAGTGATGAGTCTTCTTTGAAATGCAAATCACTACCACCTAGTTTACTTGTTTTATATTTATAGCTCAAAAATCCTTGACTTTATTACTGAAGGTATTGCCTTTACCAATGCAGATCAAAAGCTCTCTAAAATGAAGTAATGGTGGTGGTGGTGGTAGTGGAAAAGGAAGAAGAGAAGGAGAAGGAGGGGGAGGAGGAGAAGACGAAGAAGAAGAAGAAAAAATAATAATAACCCACATTTATAATACAGCACTTTAAGATTTACAAAGCACTTTCCTTACCCTGTGCAGTGAGAGTACTACAAATATAATCCCCATTTTACAGATGAGAAAATGTGGCTCTGTTCTTATAAGTGACTCGCCCAAGTAACTTTAAATCCAGCTCTGATTCCAAACCCACTAGTCTTTCCACTCCACTCCACTGTCTCTTGAATGGACAATATTCTCTGAGTTGCTGTGGCAGAAAAATTTGTTACTTGATGTCCAATTTTCTGATATTCCTCTAACATACAGTTCATCAACCAGCCTTCACTTAAAGTTTTTTGAGCTTGGTTGGATCTTCCAGACCATTTGCTCTGCTGGCATAGCCTTTGGTAACCTAGGGTTACTTCCATACAATAATGAAGTGAAATAGGACATTAGTAAAATACATTTTATTTTTAATTTAGATTTTCTTTTTTGAATTTTCTTAAAACAAAGCACATCAGAACTGCCACTGTTCTTCTTGACACCTAAATTGTGCTTAAATTTTTTGACAAGGGCAAAATAGACTTGTTATACTTCAGGATCCCCCTCCCCCAAAAAAAAGATAAGCAACACTTCTTCAAGAGATATATCACCCCAAGGTTACTGGTTCTGTGGCACTCAGTTTAAAAGTAGTTAGATGAACCTAGAATCACACTAGCTAAAAAGTTTTCTAGGAGTACATGGGTAATCAGAATGCTGTTCATGGTCTGGGCCCAAGAAGGCAGCTGTCCAAAAAAAATGGTCCTAATTGACAGCTTTCAAGATATAGTCTTAATATAATCTTTACCTTTTCAGCTGAAAGTTTAAAAGAACAGGCATGTTCACATGATTCCCTAGACTCCAATACACATCTGTTCCACAAAAGTTAATAGCTATTAAGTTCACACACACGCACAAACCCAGCAATAATGAAAAGTAATCATCCCTTGCTCAACAGTTTACCACTGCTACTCTCAAAACTTCTTGGCAACACATATCCATGCAATCGCTGTGTTATCCAATCCCATGCCTGAAAACTCTAGACAGTCAGTTGTGTAATAAATAAACCCCTTATCATCTGCTGAAGACATAAAAACTAAAATGCTGGCCTCTGCTTCAGCGTTGACGGGGCACTCTGAAATTTCAACAACATACACTTAGAAAAAAGGCTCATCTTTTTAAATTGCTAGTGTCCTCAGGCTGAACCTAAAAAATTCAGCAATTTTGCGGAAATAACTATGGTCCTTTTAAACACTGGCAGGGAAAAGGGGGAACTCTAAAACTGCAAGCAACCTTCCCATACGAAAGAAAAGCTCGTTTGTTTTTCCATGAAATAGGAACAGAGGAATATCCATCTAACAAGTGCCTACTACTAGAGACGCATCAACAACAGGTCCTAAGCAGAAAGGCGATTGGTCCGATAAACATGGGGAGCTGCTGTTGCTGCTGCTCGCCTTCAATATCTGACAGACCCAGCCCGAGATTGAAAACAACAGCACTCCTCACCCCAGGGTATGGCACACACACACACGCGCGCGCGCACCGACACACACGCAGACACACACAGACACACACACATTCCCACTTCCCCTGAGTGGGAGAAATTCCACGACACCTCTTCGTGCTCCCCAAGGAGCATTCACCTGGTGCCACCTCCTAGCCCACAGAGGGAAGCTGGGCAAGCCTCAAGGAAGGGGGAACCGGTTGCAGCTGAGAAGCTTGTGGGGGGGGGGGAGAAAGAGGGGCTGGTAGCGTACCCAGTGGCTCACCCCTCCAGGGGACCACACACACACACACACACACACTCGCATGCACAAGCAGGACCCAGGAAGGTGCAGGAGAGGCTCCAGCTGACACACCCCTCCGAGCCCCGCCGCTCACTGCCATCCTCCAGTGCGCCCTGGCCAGGTGCCCCCCCCCGCGCCCCAGTCCCCGGGCACGGAGCGCGGGACGCACCTTTAGGGAGCCCCGGGTCTGGCCCTTCGGGGCCGCGGGGGGCACGAAGCGCTCCTCTACGTCCTCTTCCTCGTCTTCCTCCACCACCTCGACGACCACCTCCTCGTCCTCGTCGTCCTCTTCGTCGTCGCCCTCCTCCTCCGCGCCCCCCCGGGGCTTCCCCTCCAACCTCCCGCGCCCCCTCCGCCTCCTCCCCCCTTCCTCTTCGCCGTCCTCCTCCTCCTCCTCCAGCAGCAGCAGCACCGGGGCGGGGACCGTGGCTGCGCCGGCAGCGGGAGGGGGGGCGGCCCCGGCCCCGGCTCCGGCTCCGGCTCCGGCTGCAGCTCGGCGAGGCGGCGGAGGCGGCCTCCAGCTCTCCCGGGCCGGGGCCAGCGGCGGCAGCCCGGGCAGGGCGCCCTCCCTCGCCTGCGCCGGGCCCGGCGGCGGCTGCAGCGCTGCGCCCCCCCGGCGGCTCCCCAGGCTGGAGCGCTTGGCTAAACGCCGAGCCTGCATGCCTGGCGCAGGGGCTCCCGGCCGCAGTGCAAAGCGGGAGAGTTTGTCACCACCACCTCCTCCTCCTCGCCCTCCTCTTCCTCCTCCTCCTCCTCCTCGGGCTCGGGCTGTCGCTCGAGGCGCAACCCGCCGGGGGTCGGGGCAACAAGGGGCCGCTGGGGCCACCTCCCAAGGCATGCAAGTGCCCGTGCTAAGGCGCTGGGCTGCAGCGGCGGCGGCGGCGGCACCTCTCCTCCGCCCGAGCCCGGCGGACCAGCCCGGGCGGGAGGCGGGCTGCCGGCTTCTCCTAGCGCCGGGCAGAGCCGCGGCTGCAGGCGGCGGCGGTGGGTGTGTGCGAGCGGTGGGCCGCCTCCGGCGCTGCCCGCGGGGAGTCACAGCCTGTGCAGTCCGCCTCGGAGGGCTCCATGCAAGCGGCCCGAGCCGGCCGCTGCGCCTCGCCCGGGCCCTGCCCCAGCCGCCGGCTCCCGGGCCTATCGCTCCCCGCTCTCCGGCGCCGCTCGAGCTGTTTGTGTTGTGTGTTTTCCACCACCGCCCCCTCTCCCCTCCTCACTAGCCATTCCTCGCAGCCCAATAGTCCCTGTGCAACCAAAACCCGGACTGGATTATTTTCCCTCTCTCTCTGCCTACCAACCCTACACCAAATTCCTGCTCTTGGAGCAACAGGGGCAAAGGCTGGCCAGTGATCCCGTGGGAGTCACCCTGTGTGCATTTATTTGGCTCCCGCCAAGTCTGTCTTGTTTAAATGGAGGGATTTACAAGGAACCATGTTAGTCGCCATCTGAATGGCAATGACGCTTCTATTACAGATATTTATTTAAAATCAGTGGGAGGCTGTTTTGTACACGTTTGAAGTTGGGGGGGGGCCGGAGGGTGTCCTGGATATGAGGGGAATACAGATTTTCTTGGATATTCTGAAATACTACATTTTACTTTTTCAAGCAATATAAGCAACAATGGTGTAGTGGAAAAATCACTGGGATTTGGAGTCAGAAGACCTGGTTTTAAATGCCACTTTCTAGCTGTGGGGATCTTAAACAAGTCACTTAACTTCCCCTAGTTTCAGTTTCCCAGTCTGTGGAATGGAGAAGATGCATTATCTCCTTGAGGGGAAGTGGCAAATGAGACTATGTATTAAAAGGTTTTGTAAAGTGTAAAGTTACATAAATGTGAATTTTTATGTAGCCTTTTACATAATTCCTAAATTCAAAGTGTTCTATCTCCATCCGGTATATTCTAGACCATAAGTAGGCTTTAAGTCTGACAGGTTTGTACAAAATTCTATGTACACTTCAGTAATTTTTTCTAGACCTTGAATGATTGGTTTTTCTACATACAATACAACAGGTCTTCCCTATTTAAAAAAAAGCAAAACACAAAAAACGACTTTTCCCTTGACCCTCATTTTCCACTGGGCCAGTTTCATCTCTCATCTCTTCTTCTAGTTCTATTTACCACCCACTCCCTCCTCAATCCCTTGCATTCCTGTGTTTAACACTGTGCCTGGCACATAGTAGGGCCATAATAAATGTTTACTGATTGGTGGAATTCTAACTTCTATCCTCATTGCTCAAGGTGCCCTCTCAAAAGTTACCAATAACTTACTAGCTAAAACATATGCACAAAGATCTTGATAGCCTAGAAAATTAGGCTAAATCTTATATGATGAAATTTAATAAGGATATATGTAGTAAAGTCTTACACTAAAGCTCAAGACATCGATTTCACAAGTACAAGATGGGAGACAGCAGTTTGTCTGATAAGAAGATGAGAGAGGTGTTGTTAGTGAACTGAAAGTTTACCATGAATCAATGTAACATGTCAGCCAAAAAGGCTAATTCAGTCTTGGGTTGCATTAAGAAAAGGATAATTTCAAGGACTAAATACTGCCCAGGTCAGATTATATCAGTAGTGTAATGTTCAGTTGTTTTGTGTGTTTTTGTTTGGCTTGGTTTTTGTTTTTTGGTTGCTTTTTTGTTTGCTTTGTTTTTTTGACAAGGCCACTGGGGTTAAGTGACTTTCCCAGAGTCATGTAGCTAGTAAATGTTAATGTGTCTGAGGCTGGATTTGAACTCAGGTCCTCCTGACTCCAGGGCCTTTAAGGACCACAGTTTTAAGAATATTAGTAAGTTGAAGAGGCTCCAGGAACAACATGACAGTGTTGGGTCAAGCAAAACAAATCAACATCACATTGGCCACATCTGAGAATGCTTTCTCATTCTTTGCCTTTAGTGCATTACCTCTCTGTCAAGAGATGGAAAGAATGCTTCATCACTAGCCTTCCTAAGTCATAATTCTATCATAGTTCTGAACCCTTTCAAGGGGTACATTCTTATTGTAGTCATTGTATAAACTGTTCTCTTGGCTCTGTTCATTTTACTCTTCATAAGCTCATAAAATTTCTTTCTACCTTTCTTAGTCTCCTTTGTGGTTTCATCGTCTTCCTCCCAACTATTTCCTTTTATAGACTATCTCCCTTGGTAATCTCATCAACTCTCATGACATAAAATTAGTTTCCTTATCTATGTGGATGACTTCCAAATCTATATCTCTAGACTTGACCTTTTCTTGCTCCTTCAGGCCCAAATTTTCAATTGCCCACTGATTATTTCTACCACAATGAAATATCAAATTCAACATGTACAAAATAGAACTCTTCTTCTCCTCCTAATTTCATTCATTCATACATTTATTCAATAATTTATTAAGCACTTCCTCTGTATCAGACATTGTGGTAGGTACTGAAAATATAAAGACAAAAATGAAATAGTCTCACCTTCATTCTCCCAGTTATAAAGGCTAGAAACCTGGCAGACATCTTTAACTCTTCCCCATCCCTCATCCAATCACTTTTTTTTAATCAAAAACAAGGTTTATTGAAGATTCACCATATTAGCCAAAGTCTTAAGGAATCCGAGCTTCTGTGAGCTATTGGCTAGATTGTGAAAATCTGAGCAGTGCCTAGATTTTAAGGATCCCTAGTGTCTTAATGGTGACAAGATGGACCCTATATACAGAAAAACTATGGGAGGGATCTAGGAGTGGCCACGTGGTCTATGAGGTAATAGAACTACAGGGGTGGCCAAGGGAGAATAGAGCCTAGATAGGATTAAGGGTGGGAAGTGGCTGGGGCAACTAGAAAGGTCTAGGCTAGGTTAAGGGTAAAGAGAATTGGGAGATTGAGTGTAGCCACAAAGAAAGGCCAGTTGATGGGATTATAGCCTCAGGGGAACAGCCAGGGATTTGGCCACCTTATCCAATCATTTGATTCTACTTCCAATATCCCTGACATCCATTCTTTTTCCTATAACCACCCTAGTGCAAACACCTAGACTATTATCAAACATTTGATAAGTCTCTCATTTTCACAATCCATTTATCACACCACTTCCAGTCACTTTCAGAGCCAGACTGAGATCAGAGAAGGCACAGCTTTGCCCCAGGTACTGATGTTCCAGAGGCCATACTTCCTTCCCTATCCCATCCCCAGTGGAACAACTAGCCTGACTGCCTCCATCATACCCCCTCTGGAAAATGGCCTGACAGAGTGGGATCCGCTATGGGGCTGGAGTTCTGATAGTTTATATTTCCTTATATCCTTCTTTCCCCTTCCTCCTTGATTTACAGATAGGAGATACTCACCTAACATTTGTCATTGTTGTTTTGATTGGTCTGCTTAGAGAATAATGGATACTGGTGACAGAATGTTTTTGAAAGACTTTCCCAGTCTGGACATGGGCCTACCCTCAAATTCCTGTGGGAAAGGGATTTCCTACTCTATATTATTGTTGCATTTCAGTCGTGTCCAACTCTGTGACCTTTTGGAGTTTTCTTGACAAAGATACTGGACTGGTTTGCCATTTCCTTCTCCAGCTCATTTTAGAGATAAGGAAACTGAGGCCAAAAGGGTTAAGTGACTTGCCCAAGGTCACACAGCTAGGAAGTATCTGAGGTCACATTTGAATTCAGGTCTTCCTGAATCCAGACTCTATCCACTGTGCCACCTAACTGCCCCCTAGCTGACTCATATGATATCTGAGGGGGAAGTCAGTGGTTCACCTCAACAATTCTGACTCCTTTATCTCAGTGAAAACTGGCATGAAGTTGGGTAGAGCTTCATAGCAGCATGAGTAAGTTAATTAAATTCCTGGAAGTTAGAAGGAAACCATCATATAATTTATTTTAAAACTGTTTTTTTTTAATTTTTAAAGGCCTTTTAAAAAAAGAAAGTTGGCCTGAGCAGGCAGTAAAACTGTAGGTCTTAGTAAATGTGGGATTCAAAGCTAATTGAGTATTGATAGGGAAGAGAAGGGAAGGGGGAATTAATTGAGGGAGTCAGTAACTTGGTTGCTAGGGTAAATTTTCCCTGATTAGAAGGAAATTGTTATGGATTAGAAGAATTTATAAAGACTCAGCTTGATCTTTTCTTTTCCTGACCTGAAAAAAAAATTAAGAATCTAGAACTATAGGCATGTAAGCGAAGGGTAAGATTAGCTAAGAAAGTCCCTTTCAAGAAAGAAACTATTAGCTAAATAGTGAGAAATGGGTACAGTTAAATCTCAAGAAGGTGGGACTTTTTAATGCCTAATATCCTAGCAGGTGAGAAAGAAAAGATTTTCCTTACAGTGAAAGAGTGCAGGGGCTCAGAGTATTTGCCCCACCAGAAGGAAATTTGTTCTAGAACTGGAGATTTCAAGGACTGTGAACAAGTAATTATATTATTTTCTAAAAGAAGGCAGAGGTGGAGCCTTCATGTGGGATGAGGTGGGGGTGGAAGTGTGTGACTGGTGACAGGTTGATGAGAGCCGAGGTGCAAGCAACTAGTTTAGTTTTCGGGCTCTTTGGGCAGGGGCTGAGGCTGCCAGACCCCTTCAATGCCCACAACTGTGACCCAACCACCTGGGAAAAAGAAGCATTCTAAAGACAAATGACAGCCAGGATCCTAGTCCCCCTTCCCCTAATAGTGATCTGTCCATGAAAGTCAGAGTAAAACTAGGAAGGGACACAGTACTTCCACCCCTGCTAGAGGGCTGTGTCTTCCTAGGGACAGTGCTCCGTCATCAATCTTCTTGTCTTTCCCTAAGAGTTTTGTCCTTTTCAGCTTTTTAAACTTTCCTGATAAGAATGGGAGGAGGAGGGGTTGGTGTTGGGTAAGAGACTCAAGGATTCCAGGCTCCTGT